TGGACAAGGAGACTCATTTGACTGCTCTCAGCTGAGTGGGCTTCAGGTCACCTAACTACAGCTGAGCTGTTTACCTCCCAACTCCTTCAGCATCAATGGAGAGAAAGGGGCAATTTGGAGGCACAGTTTATCCAACAGACTTTAGAATGAGATGAATGTACACCCAATGGTCCTGTTTTTCTCCATTAACTATAACAGGAGTCTCAGATAACTGGTTCATATTCATTCAGGTGAATGACCCATAGGATCAGATTTTTTTTCATTTTTAATGATTGTGGGCTGGCAAGGAATTGTAGGCACTCTATGTCTGCAAAATGAGCCCGTAACTATGATCAGCTCATACACTGTTGTAAAAACACCTTGGGGAATGCATCACGGAAGAAAAGGAGGTTATTTTCAGGTGTAGCATACGTAGCAGAAAAGCTCGTTGGTATTTTCATGTGGCAATAAATCATCTACTTAGTATTTAAACTGGTTTGAATCTAGTTCTGAGAATAGCCTTCAGGAAGCACTGCAACAGGGGGAGTTTAACTTCTAGTTGTGTCAAGTCTTTTCTTCTACATGACTTCTCTTGAACTGAATGCAGCTGCTACTGCAGCATTAAGCACACAACACTCACATAAAGGTTCAAAATGTCTTCATATGCTGCTAGTACCCTTTGTTGATGTCCAAGTGCCCTACTTTGTGATGAAACTTCCCTCCCAGAGTAGTTAATTTTGAAAGATTTAGTCTGAACTTAGCTTAAAACTGTTTGGCCATGTTTGAGATACAATGGCAGTAAGAGAATCATCACTCTGTGTTATTCAGCTACAATCAGCTTTCCCTGGCAAGATAAAGCTGTTACCTTCTTTTTATTGCTTAACTGCTGAGAGGATGGATCATAAAACAGTGCAAGGTTATTAAGAGGTTCCTTAATCATTTGTCCTGGCCCAGACACAGTGATAATGTTGAAGATTTCCATTAGTATTTATGCAGCACTTGCCACGATGGTATCTGTGACCCTAACTCAGAAAAACATTCCTTTTCAGAACAGCTCTTACACACATTTAGTTTTAAGCAGAGATTTATGTCCCACTGTAGACAAGGATGTGAGGCTGGGGCTTAAGGAAAGTGGTCATCTGTGTATGCTTTCAGGATGTATTTCCTTGGTCTGTGGGTGTGCTTGAGTACAGAGTGAAATGCAAGCAGGACTTTCCTCAGATTGAGCAAAATACAGATTTCGTTTGATCTTTATTTTTGCCTTCTTATGCACACAAAATATTATTCACCATACATCTGTTTTCTTAAATAAAAATATTGATAGTTACTGATGGTCTTGAAAAGAATTAAGTTTTGGTCCTAGGCATGAGTTTGTGCTATAGGTCCTTAAATAAATCTAGGACTTTAGTGGGTCTTTCTTTTACTATCATGTTCTACACATAGAATCATAGAATAGATTGGGTTGGAAAAGACCTCCAAGATCATCAAGTCCAACCCCTGATCCAACTCCAATTACTATATCATGGCACTAAGGGCCACGTCCAATCTCTTTTTAAAAACCTCCAGGGATGGTGAATCCACCACCTCTCTGGGCAGGCCGTTCCAGTGCCTGATTACCCTCTCTGTAAAGAATTTCTTCCTAACATCTAACCTAAACCTCCCCTGGCAGAGCTTGAGCCCATGCCCCCTTGTCCTATTGTTGGTTGCCTGGGAGAAGAGACCAACCCCCACTTGGTTATAACCTCCCTTCAGGCAGTTGAAGAGAGTGATGAGGTCACCTCTAAGCCTTCTCTTCTCCAGACTAAACAACCCCAGCTCCCTCAGCCTCTCCTCATAGGACTTGTGCTCAAGTCCCTTCACCAGCCTCGTTGCTCTTCTCTGGACCCGCTCCAGCACCTCAATGTCCTTCCTGAACTGAGGGGCCCAGAGCTGAACACAGTACTCAAGGTGTGGCCACATCTTTCCTTTTTTGTTCAAAATACCTCCAGAACATCCTGAAACACAGGATTAATGCAAAGACCATCTGTGTCAGGCTGGAAAGAGCATGCAAAAAAAAGCAGTTCTGCAAATGTGGGTTCTTCTGACTCAGACATCCCTTGAAAAGGGTAGGGTTTTATTTCTTAGGCAAGAAACCTAGGAGCTTGTCAAGCACGGAGAAAAAGTGCACTGCTGAGCTGCAGCACCTGATAGGAGATTGTCAATATAAATTCTCAAGAAGGGGCCCAGTTTGAACAGTGCAGACTGTGTGTGGGATTTTGCATCAGTATAACATGATGCACAAGACAAATATTTGTCTAGCATAAATCAATGGTGTAACGAACTCAGTGTCTGATTTAAGCCAGCGTCCAAGGTGGAAAAGGCCCCTGACTGTACCACTGCTTTTTCTCTTGTTCCTTTCCAATGCTAACTACTTTTTGAATTTTTCTGGCATCTGTGATTGCTAGGAAGAAGATAGATAGCCTATTATGGTTTCTTTTGGAAGGATAAAAATTGTAATTATCCAAAAATCACAATGCTAACCCACGTTATCATTTCCTGATGTCAATTATGTTGCTCATAGCCCAAACAGAGGAAAACAGATACTCCTCTTTGAGTTGAAGAATAGTTTTGGAACATATGAAAGGTCAATGTTATGAAAAATGCACAACATTTCATTTAAATATGAATCTGATTTTTTTCTCTGGGTATGGGATCCATTCTTAGATAAGATACTTAGAAAAATGGTATTAAGAACAGCAATAAGCCAAAGAGATAAGAGTGAACTACTTAAACTTACTACTTTGATATTTGTTATTGATGAGTTCTAAGCAAATATTTCTTGTAGGCAGTAGCCTTATGTATTTGGTTGACTACAGGGGTGTACATTTACAGGTACTGAAAGTTTAGGACATTTGGAGCTTTCCAGTGATATGGCTTCACCGGTAATTTGTTCATTTTGGGAGTGTGTAAAGGGCATTGCCCTGGCCCTTTGCCAATGACTCCTTCTTTACTTTCTTTCTCTCTCAAGCCTTAATGTATATTTTAAGCTTTCTGGGGCCAGAGATCATAATTTTAAAACCTATTTGAGATGCATTTTGGGGGTATAAAAATTACTTCTACTGCTTGTTCCTCTTTCTATACAATTGAATCATAGAATATATTGGGTTGGAAGAGACCTTCAAAAGTCATCTAGTACAACCCCCCTGCAGTGAGCAGGAACATCTTCAACTACATCAGGTTGCTCAGAGCCCCGTCCAGCCTGAGCTTGAATCCCTGAGCTCCAGGGATGGGACCTCCACTACCTCTCTGGGCAACCCGTTCCAATGATCTACCACCCTTATATTCAAGAAGTTTTTCCTAATATCCACCTAGTTCTACCCTTTTCTAGTTTAAAACCACTACCCCTCGTCCTATTGCTACATGCCCTTATGAACAGTTTTTCCCCAGCTTTCTTATAGGTGCCTTTCAGGTACTGGAAGGCTGCTATAAGATCCCCATGACTAATACTAATTGTGAAGGCGTAAAGTCAGTTCATTTTAGTATATTCAGTCCACATTAAGGAACTTGTATAGCTTTAAAAATATAAGAATCCTTAAAGGGGTACAAATTCTTGCTTTAGGTAAGGGCAGAGATCTTTTCTTACCATAAGGAGGCATGTATCATTTTTCTGTACGCTTTGGTCTTAGGTTTAAAACTTATTTTGCTCATATACTAATCACTAATAAAACCTCTTGAAATTTAAGTAAAAGAAATTGAAAAGCTAGTCCCAGCCTACCGATCCTAACAAGAAGTGCAGTGATATGGCTTCTAATTTGCAGAATACCATAATCTCATTTTATAGGTTCGCTGTAATTTCATTCTAGTTTAGAAGTCTTGGATGCTATTTCTGCTAGAGCATCTTTTTTTTTCTGTAAAGAGAGAGAGAAAAAAAGTCCTGCTAATAGTTAATAGAGTTCAATTTTAGTATCTTTGGTTCCATTACCACATCAGAGCTGATTCTGTGCTTGCATGTTTTGTAGGGTCAAGGAGACAGTTTGTGAATGGGAGTGAATATAAGCTGTGGTTCTTAGAACAAATGAGACTTGACACATTGACCTCAAGCTGAATTTCAGTTTTCCTAGATCAGCAAAATCTGGGTAGCTTGTTTGTAAAACTATCTTGAAATTTAGTTACTGATGCTAAGTATTCACATTCCTTCTGACCTATTTGTCCATAAGTATTGAGATGTTTTCACCACATATGAAATGTATGAGAAATCATTCACCTATGAAAACCAGCCATCTCTATAGTGAAACATGGCAGCTTGCTAGAGCACAATATAAGGTTCTGTGTGGGCATAAAAGAAGAGCAAATAACTTATTCTGAGTTAACTACATGGGGGATTTTATGTCAGTGGAAGGTAATTACCCCAAAATGAACTTGGCTCCTATGTACAGGCTAACATCTGTAGCATTGCAAAATAAACGCCACAGATGTTTTAATAATAAATAACAGATGCAGTCAGTGCCTGGGCTTCAGATCTCATCTAAAAATGTTCCTCTTATAGGCGACCCTTTCCCCCACCCCTTCCTCAGTCCTATACCAAGCACTCGCTTGCTACCAGATCAGACTGCAGGCTCCTACACACCTCGTTGCCAGCTTCCTATATTTCAGCTTTGCATTTAAGGAGTGGCACTTCATTTATGAGAGCTGGCAGTGCAGCCTTTTATTTGCAGGTCAAAAAGTACAGTGAATTGCATGACCAGAGAGTATAACTGAGAGCAGGAGCCCAGCACAACACAGAAATTTACAAAGATAACCTTTTACTTGGGTTGGAGGCAATAGTTTTCAGCAGACTGGTGAGTCAGTGGAAATAAATACTCAATGCTTTGATAAAGGCAGAAACACAGATGTCAGAAAGCAGCAGCCAAAGAAACCAGTGCTGTTATGGGGTGCTGTGCAATATTATGTTTCTGTTAAACAGGTATGTTTTAAGTGAATAACGACTTTAAATTAATGGGGTGTAGGCCTTTGTAGGGAGTGTTCTCCCATGGGAGTGGAGAATGGTCACGTACATCATGCAGGTAGAAAATGCAATGATTGTGCTAACAGTGCTGCACAGCCACAGTGCTGAGGCTGGATTGAGGCTGCTTTGGCTGACTGGGGTATGACCCAAATGGTATTTGGGATGGGAAATGGCAGATGCATCCTGCACTTTGTAGCACACTGAACATTGTGTTTGCTCGTTGTCTGGATGTACCCTCGTACTTAGGGCAGCTTCCAGCTGTATCACTGGCCCCTTCAGTGGTGTCTCGTGGTTGGCATCAGAGTTTTGGCACCTGAAGTGGCTTGCTGTAAAGGCACATGGGTTGTGCTCACCAGCTGAACTCATTCAGGTTGTCTACAGGGGATGCTGGCATGGCTGGACAGTTCAGACACAGCAGCAATGTGGTCGGTGTCTGCCAGGTTCCCTGGGATATTGGGAGTACAGCCTGCATTTGTCAAATAGTTGTAGTGGCCGTGATGGAAAGGGTGAGGAATTGGGCATCTCCCATTCCCACTTTATGTGGGCACAAATCCTGCAGATCAGTCCAGCACTAGGCACTGTAAAAGCCTGGGGCATCTCTGTGTGCCCCTGCTTTCCCAGGTATTCTCAGCTGTCCTCAGTGACATGCTGCCTTTTTGTACAAGTGCTCCACGTGCTGCACTGGGGACAGGCTGTAAAGGTATTGGCTTTCTGACTTCCCCCTTCCCTTCCAGAGAACATCTCTGTCAGCATTGGAACAGTCAGAACAGCAGATCAGGAGAGCATCCAGCCTGGAAGAGCTGCTTCGCATCACTCACTCTGAGGACTGGAAGCTGTGGAAATGCAGGCTAAAACTCAAAAGTCTGGCCAATTTAGACTCCCGCTCTGCATCACATCGCTCCACCAGATTTGCTGCTGCTTTCTATGATATAGATACACTGAAAGGTAGGTGCAGGTTTGCAGCTGAATGACCTTAGCTTCAGGCCCACTGATTCTTAATCAGTAAAGTGTTAAGTATGAAGGGTTTCCTAGAAAACACCCATACTGGAAACAACAGAGCATTCATGGAAAATTACTTTGCATGAGAAAATATCAGGCAATAGCCTGAGTCTGCCTCTCTGTTTTGTGGCCAAATCAGACTTATTGTTCTCTGCAAGCTCTCCAAAAGGAGGATGTATTATATATGGATTTGTCAGTCCACAGAAAGGAGGGGAAGTCAATGTGCAAAGAACAGGTTGGAATGACTGGCTCAGAGGCTGGCCAGAAGCATTGGGCTAAACCTCAGAATTTGCTTGCAGACAAAAACAAAAGAGCTTTCCTGCAGGCATAGAAATCTTTTTTTTATTAGGTGTGCTCTGAAATAAGGCACTGTATCAGCAGCAGTGTCTGGGTGGGAACTGCAGGGGAAGGAGGTATTGCCCTAATCCCAATATATTTGAAGAAGCCTCTCTGGAAAGATGAACTAGATCTTGAAAAGAACCAACCAACACCTGCATGTGAGGAATCACAATCTATTCCTTCACCTGGAGCAAAAAAATAATACTATTCCTTGTAGGTCAGAGACTGGAGAGTCATTTTATGTTAACTGACGTAAAATAAAGGATCAGTTACTATACTTTGGTCCAGCAAATGGACAGTCTACAGCAGAACTACAGTGTAGCCTAACAAAGGACAGACTGAGCTACGCTGCTTTTGTTCAGTCTGTACCCTGAAGTGATATGTTCATATCACTTTCCTTTTGGGAAATCAGATATTGCTGATCCTGTTCCAATACCACTTTTACAATAACCACAGCCACATTTGCATGCCATTACTCAGTTAAATTATGGCTGAGTAAAGGCCTTGATTTTCTTCCCTGAGCTACAGCACAGAAATGCAGACATAAGTGCCAGTCTGAAAAGGGCTTTCATACAACAGGCATGGTTTTAAAATTTGCATTGAAATTTTGTACCAAAAAAAAAAAAAAATCCAATATACACTGGGAGAACAAGGGCTTTAATTAATGATACACATTCTGTTTGCTCATCTTACAGGTATAGAAGCCCATAGAGTTGTTATTAGAAGTAGTACCGAGTGTCAAATGCTGTAATTCTCTATTCATTATTGCTCATTTAGTGAGCAACAGCATTTCTGAAAAATTAAAATATTCCTTTTGTCGATACATCGAGGCAACAGAGGATGTTGTCAAGTGTTACTGAGGCTGCACATATGGCAATGGGCTTTTTTTCAGTGGCAGAATAATGTAACTGTTCAGGTAATGAAGTCAGATGACTATAGTCATACAGTTTTCTTATAATTGTTTGAAAGAGCTGTTAGGTCGTTTCCCACTCTTCCTTTAAAAGTCTAACTCTCGACACAGAGATTTCAGCTTTCTCATTCAAAGCCAAGCCACTGAAATTTAAGCTAAAAAAAACCCCTATTGGGTCATCTTCTCCATTCTTCCATCCAAAGTGGAATTATCCCAGGACAGAAACTACTTTTGTTCTAATATCTTAATACGTTCAAGGTAATAAAGCTCCTTTTAAAAAACCCAAGCCTATAAACATGTATTTCTTTCCCACACCCCTTCCAGTCATTAAGCATTGATCTTTTTGCCAAGGGCATCTGTTTTGTTTTAATAAAATGTTTTGACAAGAAGGCTGGGTGAAGGCTCCTCCTTGTTTCACTGATAGACCATCTTCCACAGCACCCCAAAATCCAGCAGGGTGAATTCAGGACTTTATTTCTCCTTTCTAGAACTTTAATGATGAAAACAATGAAAGCTTGTACCACCCTGTCTGACCACTGCCTCCCCCAAGCAGCTCAGCTCACCTAGAACTGCAGCTGGAATCTGAATCAGAGCCACATTTCTCAGCCCTGTCTCTGCTCATGGGAAAGATCAGGGTTCTGTGCTTCTGAACAGAGCGCTTCTAAACAGAGTGTGACACCCACTTCTTAAACTGCTCCTTCCTATAACAGCCCTTCTGCTAACGAAGTGGTTAATAAAGTGAGGATGTGTGCAGTTGGAAAGGTCATCACTACTTACACTCATTGAAGCGACATCTGAAGTGATTACATGCACATACCTTAATGAGTTTGGCAAACATTTTATTTTCTATTTTAAGGCCTAGGATTGGATTGCTGTTTCAAGACACTAACATTGCTCTAGAAAATTCTATTGATTTTAGCAATTCTTCTCTTCATTTATACTGCCAAATCAGAATCTGGACCCCAAACTCTTCTTTTTTGTACTTTTTGCATGACTGGAGAGTGGAGTGAATCAACCCTGGGAAAGGACTTTGCAGGAATAAACAAAATGATTTAAATATATACAATCAGTTAAAAATAATTTAAAATAATAAAAGGAAAGTCAGGTAGGAAAGAAGAATACATGCTCATCTGAAGACAAATTATAGTACCTATATTAAAAGTCTTTCAGAAATTTTATTTTTTTATCAGAACTTCCCTGTAAATATATGCACTGCTTGCACAATCACAGGGATGTGGAAGAAAAAGCGATTTTCTTAACAGTATAGAAGTTGCTTTTGATCTTTCAGAAGTGTGCTGGAGGGTTGCAGACAGGAAAAATGTTTTTCATAAATTTAAGAAGAACTTAAAGCATAAGCATTGATGATTCTCGAGTAATTCCATAACTTGAATCAGGTAAGCAAAAGCCAAAAAAAGCAGGGCCACCTCTTAACAAGACTTGAGACAATATTATGTAAATGTCACTGCTTTCTCCCTCTGGTTGAGTCAGTTAACGCATTATTCCTTCTCACAGTCAGAATTTGACAGATCAGTCTAAAATAAATTACTAGTTGATGACAACAATCCAGTATTTGAAAAATGTCACAGTGGTTTGAATAGATAAAGCATGCTTGAATTCATATTCCTGTTATTCAGACTCAAACCCCCTGAGGATACTGAGGTGTGAGAGTGTTTGTCTTGGATTTCATTAGACATTTTGGAAACGGTGCTCGCTGGCTGACATCCAGTAGGAGTACTAATACCCTCTGACCAGAATCTGTTAATCATTAATGTCCTTTTGCAGTCAGGTCCAGGCTCTACCGAGTCTGCAGTGGGGTACAAGCAAAGAGAGGATAAAATGACAATAAGGAGGTCTACCCTGGAGAAAAGGAGAACAGGGTGTGGGCCAGCTTTGTCAGACAGAGTCTGTGGAACTGGCTCTCGGGTAGGGGAAATCGATGCAGCTCTACTTAACCCACTGGAATTAATGGAGATTTTAGTCATCCACATTGAATTCTAAAAGCGTATAAATGCAACAACCTCTCTGCCAGTGCAGCTGGTGTAAGTTAGTCGGATAATTTTGCACTCAGACTCGATCTGGTCCTTAGATCGATCCAAGTAAGTGCAAATCGATCCAAGTAAGTGCAAATGGCCTGCCAGCACTTCGTTTTTATTTATATAATGCTTCTGCCTCACTAATCAGCGGTTTAACATTGCCATGATTGCTCATAAAAATGGTCTTTTCTTTGCCATGATTGCTCATAAAAATGGTGTTTTCTCCAGTCATAGATGAGGAATGGCAAAAGACTCAATGCGTGCCAAGGGAAACCTGTGTGGAAGTTGCCAAGGAGCTGGGTACAACAACCAACAAATTCTTCAAGCCTCCCTGCGTGAATGTGTTCAGATGTGGAGGTTGCTGCAATGAGGAGAGTCTGAGCTGCATGAATACAAGTACAACTTACGTGTCAAAAACGGTAAATGAGGCTATTCATCCGCTTTCTTTTTACCCTGGCTCTCCAAGAAGGGAGGGGAAAGAGGAAGTTTGGTTTCTGAGATCCTGTAATGAAAGATCTGTCTGCACTGTCATAACAAACAAAAGAATTACTTTTTTTATCAATGTAGAGTAAATGCAGGCATGTGCAATAACATTTTACATTCATGTTGCATTATTAAAAAGGGCTATATATGCATAGAGATAGAAAATCAGGCCCTGAGAAAGTGACTGCAGGCTCTCGTAATGTTAAGGAGCTTAATCTTTCATCAATGTATTGTTACTTGGACATGGGACCTCTTGAGAGTATTGGCTTGTGGAAATTCTCTGCACCAAAGGTTTAAGAGAGACTTCAGGAAATTTTGTTGTATGAGGCCAGAAGTCTGAGAGCTGCATTTTCAAAATTGCTGTCAGTGCCAAAACACTGGCTAATAATTTTGGATATGCAGTTTTGCAAGCCTAAAAAGTGGACATTTTCAACAGGAGGGGACAGACGCCTTCAGTGTGAATGCCTCACGATCTGAATGTCCCAAATCACAAGCCATTTTGAAAAAGAAAGGCTTAAACCAGTAGCCAATTACTGCTTAGGTGCAACAGGTGACAAATACCTGAGTTTTAATGACCAGTGTCAAAAAGTGAGCGTAAAGAGAGCATCCAGAGAGCTTCTTTCTGTAGACTCCCTCTAGTGTCTATGTACAGAGATACCTTGCTCCAGAGGGTGACTCTGAGCAGAGGTCCAAGTTTAGTACTTTCAATCAGTTCTACAGATGAAACAATATGTGTTCACACCTACAGAAGGAACACCAGAGACTGATCCTCCTTGATTAATCTTCACATTGTGTATCCCTACTTATAGTTGATAAAACCTTTTGACTTGGAGTATTATATTAAATTCTAGTTACGAAAAAGGCTTTTCTTTAAATCAAAACAAAGATCGAGGGCAATTGTTTTAAAAAGAAAATTGAATTCCTCATGGGAAGCAGGTCCAATTCACTTCAGTATTTGTTTCAGGATTGCTAGAATGTAATTGCACCGTGTCTGGTTGTACTGGAATATAGCTGGAGCAAAATAAATCAGCGCCCGTCCTTCTTGCGTCAATGTTCTTTAATTGGTTTCATTCCACACCAGGAGGAGAAAGCTGTTATGAGCTGTTGGCCACACACAAAAGACATCTGATCATCTCAGGGAGCTAGGTCAGGCTAAAAAGTATTTATTTATTTATGGTTTTTTGGAGCAGCAGTTCATAAGTTTGTTGAAAAAAAAAAGTTTGTTTGCAGAGTGTAACATTCCTTTAGTGTCCTTCAAAATAAAGATTCCCTCAAAAGCCCCCAGCTAAATTCCAGTCCTGGATACACCGCCATCAGTCCAGATCTACTCTAAAATGAATGGAATTACTCCCATATTAGTGAGAGCTTTTTTTTTTTTTTTTGTTGGTATAAAATATCCACTGAAGGATATTCATGCAACCTAAACTTAGACACTGTGACACCTAAATTTAAATATGTAAGCTGTCAGGCTTAGGAATACTTCTCAGACCCTGCATGTGGATGCAGCACTGAGCCAAGACATGCTGGCACATGAAGACATACATACCCTATGCTTTGGTGGGGGCAGAGGGGGTGTGGGTCACCTCAACAGCTCCTGCACATAGCTGCCCAAGGAACCAGGGCTTCCATGAGGCTACTCAGAGATCACCCTAAACAATTTGAATGCACTGAAGGTAGGCTGCTTGGTTTCTTAGGCTCCTAGTGTGGTCAGGAGACAGATGTTTCCAGTATAACGTCCTGCAGGAACCCAGCTGAAGAAGCATGACCTCTCTTCTATTTACTTCTGTTTCTTCTCTCTCTGAGGAGGCTGCGGGGATTAAGATAGGTCCCTAAAGATGCATGATGTGAAACAGATGTCTCTGTAAGTGGTTGAGATTCAACCAATGATATAATTGAGAACAAAGTCTCCAACACCTATATCTTTTTCACTTGTCCCTAGCATCCAGAAGAGGCTTTTGAGTGTGTTTGTAAATGATTTTGAATGATCTTGGGTGTTTAATAGCTGGTAATACAGCACTGGAACCAGCATTTTGGCAAGTTCCTACCTTTGTGGGCATTGCTTACTCTTCATAACCCTGAGTACCCACTTGCTCATTTATGCCTAGGGTAACTATCTCTAGAAAAGAGCAAGGGTGGAGAAAATGGTGGCAAAGGACAAGTGGTTTTGATTTAAAACTCCAAATATTAACTGTATAATGGAAACTGAAAAATGAATGTTATTTCACCTTCCTAGCTCTTTGAGATCTCAGTTCCTTTGACAAGTGTTCCTGAGCCTGTGCCAATCAAAATTGCCAATCACACAGGTTGCAAGTGTCTATCAAATACGCAGCGTCATCAGTATGCTATCATACGAAGATCTGTCCAGTACCCGGAAGAAGATGGGTAAGTTCTCTCATTTACAAACTTCTACACATGTTGTGCAGTCCAAAGTATGAAAATTATTTTCTTCCAGTTTGGTCACTAAAATGGTTCCTTCACTTTCTGTTATGCCAACAGTTTTTCCAAATAACTTCATTATCACTCAGGGTTAGAAAGCTTCAACTGAACCTGAGGAATGGACACCAGAATGGTGTGAATGGCTGAATGGACCAGCAAATTATAAGTTAATGGACACCAGAGTCCAACAAACAGCAGGCTAGGTTAGTTCAGCAGAATCTGGAATCATTAAGACTCTAAGGTGCTTGAGCAGGGACTCAAAGTGGAGTTATTTGGTTATTTGTGCATAGACTTTTTCAACCTGATACAAGCAACTCTGTTTGCACATTATTTAGCCAGGGCACACAGAGTGCTATTCTCAAGCTAAAGCCCTTTGGCATACCTCATGGCATGTCAAGTCCGAAGTAGCAAGAACTGTGGCTTTGCACTTTCTGGTCCAGTCCTGGTTTGCATCTATCCATAACTCCATAAAATACCCATAGCCCCAGTGAGAAAAGGCTACATGAATTTAACAAGGACTGCAGAAGCACAGGCAACTTGAGTGACTCTTTAAAAAAAAAAAAAAAAAAAAAATCCTATTTTTTTTTTTCTTGTAGATGCCCCTTTACCAACAAACTTTGCCACAATGGATGGATCTGGGATAGCGACAAATGTGAATGTGTTGTAGATGTACAGCACTCCAATAGACGAGAAGGTAAAGATGAAATTACAAATGGACACTTTTGCTTACTATATCTAGGCTGCTTGTATTTCATTTTGGTTTTGTCCCATTTTTTCATGAAGAGTTATAGTTTTGATTCCACATCCCTAGTCAGACTTGTCTTATGGTGTAGAAACTCACCTGAAAATAAACACTCGCATGGGCTTATCCACATCTCATGTTTTTTGCTTGGACATTTTACTTCCTCTATATTAGCAACCTGAATAGGAAATAGGAAAGTATTAAAAAGAGTTAGTGAAGTAGGCACTCTGGATGATTTTTTATTTTACATGGGCCCTAAATTGTATAATGAGGATTAGGGAAAACTTTTTAACTATAGAAAAAATTATGCTCCGGAATATATTGCATGGGGAAGGTGCTGAATCGTTACAGTGGGAAATTCTTACGAATCAGGAATAAGATAGGCAAAATCAGTCCTATCTATTAGCTGTAGTCAGTGCAAAAGAGTATATGATCTTTCAAAGTATTTGACTGCTTTTTATGATAAGGTATTTAGGAAGCTTTCAAACTGATAGGCCACGCATACTCAGGAGTATGCACATATACCCCTTCAGCTCTGTGGAAGGAAATGGAAGAGGGTAAAATTTATAAAGTGTACACTAGTTCACTTCTCCCTCTGCTTTTCCTGGAAAACTTTAATCTGTCGAAGATATTTGCAAAAAATATTCTGGGGGGTAACTGGGTAAGTCTAAAGATACTGACTAGCAGTAAACATCAAGGTAAAATTTCTCCAAGCCCCGTATAAGGTTTTTTAAAAACCTGTTTTTTCAGGAAATTGTACTGGTCAAAATAAAATTATCATAGCACTAGAGCAGAAGGACACAGAAGGAAGCCTTGCCTTTGTGGTTTAACCTACATGCAGCAAGCAAAAGAATAAAACATCCAAGACAACAATAAAAACAAGCCAGCAAGCAACTCCCAGACTAGAAAGCTAAAATAACCTCATAAACTGTTTTGTTGATTACAGTCTCCTAATATTAATAAGCAAGAGATCAGTTGTGTAATGGTTTCTGTAGGATCTGTTCTCACTCTGTATCAGATCATCTGACCATCAGGTTAGGTAGTTAAGCTCAAGTTAGAGCTTTCACTCAAGAAAGGACTAGTACTCCATATTCCAAAGTCCAAAGGACTGTGAATAGCCAGAGTCCTCTTAACTCTTAGCCTTTTGTAGGATCAGCTTGGAGCATTAAAATTTGTGGCATGTTAAATTATAGCTTTTGTTGACACAGAGTCAATATTTCCTCAGTCAAAATATCATTCTCTGAAGTACATTGTGTTTGGCAGTGGCTGGGACAAAATAACTTAAAATCTGTCTTTGAGGTTGAAACAAAGTGAGACCAAAATACTCTATGCCACTTCACACATGCCAAGCTTCATCCCTCCAAGGAAGGGGTTTGTCTTCCAAGAATTTGAGGCAGATTCCTTCCTCCCCTCCAATAGGACTTGGGTTTTATTCTGTCTGGATATTGGTTTTCCAGCATTAAGTAAATAATAATGAAGTTTTCTTTCAAGTAATGTGCAGGCCTTTTCTGGCCACTGAAATCAGAGCTCAGGCTGTAGATGTTGCAGACGCAGGTTACATTCCACGTTCCTTAGGTTAAATCCAACAGCTAATTGTAAAACTACAGGAAATTACCTTCCCAATGACACATTATATGCCATGACCTTAAACCGGGGATGTGCTGCTAGCATTTTAATACAGCTTTCAAAAAATGTGTTCCCTTTTTACTAGGATTAGCCTCATATTGTACTCCAGATGTGTATTTTGAGGGAAGATAGATGAAGTATTAGACAGCGCATTCACTTGGCTGTGGTTCTGTTTCTGAAACAAAGTGTTTTCTCCTATCTTTAACTGACAAGTGTGCATATGCTCCTTACTGAAGTGCTAGAGGAACTCGCACCTTACTGGACATAGTATTACTTTTGCAGTATTTCTGCAGCATGTGGATAGTGAAGTACATTGAGTGCTGAGGGTGACAGTGTGCATGGATGTGCATTTTTGTGATGGGTATAGACTAAATATTTTTTGAGATTTTTTTTTTTAAACCTGCTGTCCAGCAAAGATTTGTGCATTGCAAAACCTAACACTAGGCTCTTTAAATACACAACCCCAAAATAAAGGATTTCTATGCAGGGTTTAACCCATAAGAAATTGCAGCATTAGAGTAAGTGAAATAATCAGGCCAGTCCTCTCAAGTCCTTTTCTGCACTGTAAGTTACAACAGGAATTCTGAAGACTAGGATCTATCAGAGAGTACATGTGAGTCCTAGCGATTGCAAAGAAAGAGTTAGTCTCTTCAAAAGCAGGATTTAGACATGTAAAGCTTACTGCTAAAAGATGCATGTGTTATTGCAGGACTCCCTCCTCTTGCTGAGCTGGCTATGTGTGGACAACATATGGAATTTGACGAAGAAAATTGTGAATGCATCTGTAGACAGAAGTGTCCCACAGATTTCTTTCAAAGTAAAGAGAACTGCAGCTGCTATTTGTGCAGGGAAAGCCATGAGAGCTGTGCTCTAAAACACAAGATATTTCATGCTGAAACCTGCAGGTAAGTGTTCCTTGTCATTCAGTGTCTATGCTGCAAGATCTGAATTAGCTTGCATAGATGCTGGAGGTGCAAGTGTTGAATTAGCTAGGAGGTTCACCCTGGAAAAAATACCTTGCTGCAATTAGGGAGATAATAATAATAGAGATTATATTTACAATACTTGCTTCATAGGAGTTTAAGGCTTATTTAATTAATATGTTTTAAAGAAATCTGGACAAGATGCTATTCAGCTACCAATATTTATTACTTTTTTCCCCCTAAGCTTAAGGAAATGATGGTTAAAAATGTGCTACAACTGAAATTAATGTGTGACACGGGATTTACAGTGAGATACTGAGTCTTGCATTTGTAGGTAGGTAGAATCCATCCTGTGTTCTCTGTCACAGCTGAATGCAGACATCTAAGGAGAAAAGCTCCCTAAGTAGGCACCTGCACCATACAGCTCATTCCTTATTCAGTCTGTCCTCAGAGCAAGTGATTTTCTAGAGCTAATGCAATTTTGCACACACACGAAGCCACTCAATCAGCTCTGATTCTACTGACAAGCTGGAAAATTGTTCTGGGGTTCTTATACTCCATGCATTTCCCTAATCCTTTGTGTAACTAGTTTTGAGGTTTCTCTGGCAAAACTTTCATAGAAAATACCCATTTAAATTAGTCTTTTTTCATGCATTAATTTATTTTCAAAATTTCCTTCTCAGAAAGCCTTGGCCACACATAGAGAACCAGGAGCATGCAGAAGCTCTGTCCAAAAGCTTATATAAGGACAGTCAGCATCCAGTTTCCCTGGGTACCTTAGCAGAGCTGCAGTTCACTGAATGATCAGTGAACCCAAAGGGTCTGTTCTCACAGACCTCATAGGTTCACTCATGGAGAAGAAGCTGTGGAAGAAGTAACCTTTGCATCTTTAGGTTCAGCTTTGAAAATATGGACAAGCATAAAATAGTTGACAAGTATAAAAAGAGAATCATCAGAGTTGAAAGAGAGCACAAAAAAACTGGTCATTTATGTATTTCAGTCAGGTGAGAGGGGATCAATAGAATAATTTGTTTACATGAGTTTGGCTTCTAGAAATTACTATAATCTGGACACAGGACTTTTATGCCAGACTTTCACGCCTAGTGTTCCAGCATCAGGTGAGCTAAAGTACTTTGCAAAATTTAAGGGCAACGCTATCCAGTGCTGATGCTCTGGACTCCCCTCTCACAAGAAATGAAAGCATTACTTAGGTCATGACTGTGGACAAATGGACAACAGCAAGACATGTTTCTGTAGACAAGAACTGTCAGGCAGCAGTCTTGTCTCCCTGTGTTGTAGGGTGTCGGCGCTTTCCCATATGTTGTCTGGAGAGCATTGCAGTGTTCAACGATGAAAAAGCTGAAGACTGCAACACTGAGGAATTATCATATTACAATGCTTCTCTCTTTTTCCTTTTTTCTCCTCTATCAAACAGCTGTGAAGACAAATGTCCATCCCAACCCAGAACATGCCCAACTGCAAAACCAGTGTGTTCCAGGCATTGTCGTTGTCCGAAGGAGAAGAGAGGTTCCCATGGGTCCCAAAGCAAAGAAACTCCTTGAATGAGCTTCCCTTATTCTCCAAAAATCCACTGCTTTGCAAAGTAGCTGTCACTGACTTTCAAACAATAGTAAATATGAACATCTTCCACATTAATAGCAGAAGAATGAATCCAGTCTGCATTTATTTATTAGAGTAATCACTAACTGCAGGTAAATCCTCTGGGACATTGGTAATTGTTCTCTAAGAGGTAACAACAACAACCGATGAATTCCTGTCTGTGCAGAAGAAGGAGTGGAAAGTGCCAGTTCAATGTTACGTTATGGAAGATGAAGCTGGTATATTGGTAATAGAGTCACAGTCACCAGCCAGTCTTTCAGAAATTGAGACTGATAATCTTAGCCTCTGAATCCTTAGCTAATGCAGCTCCTGGGTGAAACTTTATTCAGAAATTCAGTGTACAGGATGTGGCTTCTAATAGGTTCAGCACTGAGTTATTTGATCTACTGTCCAGCTTTGATTATCATTTTGAATTTATTGTACAACTACTGTCAGATGTGCCATATTTAAGTGTATATAAGAAAATAAATACATCAGTTATTCGAGTGGTTTTGATTTTTCTCTGTTATTTTAAAACACTGCCCAACAAAAAGAAAATAAGCAAAACCCCAAGGCCGTCTCAAGTACAGCCTTCTTATGTTTGTCCCACTGGGACTGGCTTCTGCCCAAACCCAGGTCGAAACAAGGTCACTTGATCCAATAGTTTCAGTAAAGAACCGTTTTTCCCACGTTTGCCCGACAACCATGTGTGATTTATTTATTTGTTCCTGGTGTAGTGTGATAAATCTCCCTAAGGGGATACCAACCACACTAGCACTAACTCTTCAGTGATATTTGGAAAGGCACGGTTCGCTAAAAGATGGTTTTCCTTTTAGCTTACTGTGCTATGAAAATATCTCCTTTGCACTGAAATTCCTTTCACCACTGTGAGGCCTGATGTTTTAACCAAATCGAGTACAAGGACTGCATTATTTTCTGAGCCACTGAAGTCTGGACTAAGCCAGTCCAGAGAAAATATTATGAGCAATAATCCTGAACTGGAAGTGAAAGTCTTGACGACTGCATCATTTTTTCCCTTTTGCTGAATTCAGTTCTCCAATTCTACACTGTACTGTGAAAGAAGGGAATAGAGCAAATGAAACAACTGCTACGGAGATGGAAAAGTTGAGACAACACAGGGAATAGAAAATGGCTTTTTGATGTGCATCTGAGAATTTTTTATATTTATATAGGGAAAAAATAGATTGCTCTGAAATAAAAATAAAGCCAAACCCTGCAAGATTGATACAATTGTTGGACAAAGCACCAAACAATTTAATGTGTCTTTTGTCTGAGTAAGGCATTTAGGATGTGACCCTGGATGACTGCTCTGAGTGCTTCCTAAACCATGTGTGATCTGGGTCTGTGCAAACATACTGACAGGCTGGTTTTGTTATCTGTGCTGGGAAGTGGCCTGGGATCCTCTGACCCAAACAACCAAGCAACACAGTCTGACCTGTGAGCATACTGGGTGGAGCCCCTGCAGCAGGGTGACCTACTGGTTTGCACTGGGCTCGTCTGCTGAAGGTTTTCCTCCTAGCAAGCACTCTGCATGGACAAGAAGGGGAACGTGACCTGAGTCCAAAAACAGGTAAACCAGTTTGGCCGCAGAAGCACACCCTTACATTTCCCACAGTCCTCCAAGAGGCTTTAAATTCAGACACATGCACATGGTGGGTGAAGTCTTTGAGATACACAAGGGTCCATAAAAGGAATGAACTGCCCCATCATCGCTCACCTAGCTCAGCCAGGGAGCTGCAGACGCTAACCAGACACTTAACTGGTGGAACCAGAGGCATATGGATTAAAAATAGACCTATGTGCAAAACTGTACAACAGCATTTGTACAAAATTCTGTGGAAAGAGTTTAAGTTTTTGCACTTCCTAGTTTTTCTTTAATTGGAGTTTAGCAACTGGAACCCTGTATTATTATGCTTGAGTCTCGTCAATATTGATCTGCAGAGGCTTCCTCAGTTTTCTAGCCTGACCAGTGAATATATTAACTTTTTTTTTTTTTTACAAAACAGAAATGCTCCAACTTGAGAGTCAAGTAAGTCTGCTTCAACTCCAGGAGGCCCTTAGATAAAGCACTCACTGAGGGGCTGAAAACCATATGCAAAAGCTTTTCTCAATGAGGCAGAGAGGGAGTGAACATGAGCCACCTAACTCCCAGGAGAGAGCATAGCAGTTAGGATACCCAGGCTAGAAAGGTACCATCACTGACCACCACTGTGAAACCTTGCTCTGAGATTTTCACACCTTTCTAGACCACTGAAAAACAGACCTGTGCCTGGAGGTCTAACTCAGGACTAAAGATCCCAATGGCAAGGAGTGAGATGTTGCCATGTCCACAGGCTTCATTCAGCCTCTGGGTGAATTTAACCCTTAACCTCAAAATTTTATTCTTATCTTTTGCAGATCACTTTGTGAAATGCTTAGGAAAATATTTTTGATAGGAACATGCTCAAACAACAGAAAATGTGTGATCATCAAAAACACATCTGAAGATTAACATAAAATTCAGCATTCTTTTCACATTTAATCCCTTACAGGTTTTTACCTGTGAGGGATTTACATTTTGCAGCAGCAAAGTGTTAGAAAGCTTGAGAAATGAGAACAGGTCTTAGACTTAGTGTGAAGGTAGAAAAGGAAACTGCTTGTGGTGGCATTCACTAACAAGAATGGCCTAAGCAGCCAGCGTGCTTAAATATTTATCTAGTTTATAACTTTGATGCTCCTTACAGATTCTTAGTCCTAATTTCCAGAAGGCTTACTTCTTTGTGCTTCAAATATTATTGCCAACTCTGCTACACAAAGTTGAAATTCACACTCAAACCTTTGCCAGATAACAGACTTGGGGGGTGTGTGTGTGTGTGTGTGTGTGTGTGTGTGTGCAGACATGTGAGTACACACATACTAACCTC